TGAACATCTCAAGTTTATAAACTGAACATTTCATTATATAAACCATAAAAACCTTCAGGTTACTTTATTAAGATGTCTCAATATCTAACTAATGTGGCTTTAAGCCGAATGAGCCACCAATGCCATAATGATTCTAAAAGAATCAATGGTAGAAACAAAATAGAATTATTTTTCTCACCCAATTCCTTATTTTTGTTTAAAACCCCAAATCATAAAATTTGCTTTAAACCATTCTACCTATCCCATCGAATACCTTTTAACCATTTTATCTCCTAAGTCCATTAACAACCAATTGGACTATAATGATGTGGTCATTCATTATGATCTCACACATAATTATACAACATGAATTTAATCTCATACTACTTGGCAAACATCTAACTTAAAAAGTTAGTAACATCAAAAGCCTTTTGAAATAGAACAAAATTAAAAGACACATGAACATCTTGTTCATGTTCTTCTGTAAGTTCAAGTGTAGTTTCAGAAATGAGATTGCTGGGATTTATTATTAAATTAATCACTTGTGGCATTCTCCACCAATCGCTAAATCACTCATGGGACTAGCATAACTACTAGTTCATCCTTGACAATGACTTTATAGAGTTCAAAACCTAATACACCTATTATTTAAGTCATTCTCTAGATAGATTGTATAGCTAGACCTAATTATTCTAGTATTTCATGACAAATGATAAGATCTAAAATCTTTTAAGTTGGTGCAATAGCTAATAGAATACTGTTGACAACTTTCTAATAAAATTTTGTTGAATGCAATTATGGGACCATGATTTGAATTACAACCTCAAGGCGGCTCAAAAATCAGCTCTTTGTTCAACCACAATTTACAACAATCTTTAGAAACTCTATTACTTGAATTTTTATTTAATTGAATGTTGCAGTTTCAAAGGCTTCATTCCATACAAAATCTAGAATTGTAGAATGTTACAACATATACTGCACCATGTACAAAATTATGCACTTGCCTCTTATTATAACCTTATTCTTTTTTGGTATTCCAAGCACAACATATTAGGCATCAATACTAAAATCCTGTAAAAAATTTGATAAAATAATCTAGGATTTCACCTAGTTTCATCATATCAACCACAGTATTCATCACCTATATCTGACTTTATTGCCTTAATTTTGTGCTTTTCAAAAACTCTATAGTGGATTTAAAAAAAAAAAAAACTTTAAGGCTTCCATAGAGTTAGACTTCTCACTCCACATGACTGAAACCTAAATGGTTTTTTGAGAGGGTGACAAAGTGTTTATACCCACTAAAATAGTAAATGGAAATTGTTCAATAATGTCTACATAAATTAGTCTATAAATTTCTTTATATCTACTAATCACAGCTCTTTATTAGCAGCAAGATTTCTTTTAAAGCAAGCTGTTCATACGCCAAATTCAAAATGTCACTAATTCCTATGCCATAACATCGTAGTCTTCAAATCTATTTTACCAAGATTAAAACCAATAACACATTATTTAACTATTTGCATAACTCAAGAAGATTGCCCATATTCATAAATATCTTTCCTTGTTTTGGTTTTTGGTTGCATGCTAATTACAGGATTTAGCTTAACAACACTAGCACCGATATCCAACCATGAAAAATGAAAGGCATAGTATCTAGATTGCATTCAAATGGTAAGGGCTAAAAGAATACCTTGCTTCACTTTCCAATCTAGAAAGCTTTTATAAATTGCCTTCTTATGTCGATTTATAACAGAAGTGGCACATATTTTTAAATTCCTCTAATTTAAGAGTTTAGAAGCATTCATGGAACTGAAATGGGAAATGGCCTTCACAAAATTCTTCTTCGTAAATGACCTTTAATGGGATATTTCTTAATGATGTTTCATTTGGCAATAGTGCTAAGTCATATCATCTAGAAGACTAAATGAGATTGCCAGCTTATAATATCTATTCCTCTTAGATGGTTATAGCGCTTACAGTATTTAAATCTAATGATTCCTTTTGCACTTTATAGGCAGATTTCAATCATACTTTCACCCCCATAAGGTAACTATTAAAAAATCTACCACTGTAGGAACTAGTCCCATATGTCAACATTGGTCATTTTCAAAATTTACTCATAGAAACCATCTACCTCATCTAACATGGTAGTGGTGAACAGTCTATATGGTTCAATATTTCAACCTTATGAAACCTTGCTAAATTGTCTCATGGCATTTTTAATTATCAATGTATAAAACACTCTATCCGATGCATTCATTAATGGTATATCTATATATCATTAAATAATTCTAATTAGGGTACCTTTAAAAAGCACATCATACTTTTGTCTTCATTGAGCTTCTAGAAGTAGGTGTGGATAGTGATTAACTCTTTGGGTTATTTTTTAAATTTAGTATCCCCAAAACCATAAATATTTATTCACCCTATTTATCTAAATTTAGATGATAGTTGTAGAGACGAAACCAAGATAAAAGGCTATAAAATAATTTAAATTGATATTATGCATGTGAATAGAATAATGCCATAATAGTTATTCTATTTAATTCATAATTTGAAATTTTTTTTGAAGCATACTATAAAAGAAATTGTAGAACTGATTGAATATAACCCTAGAATGACTTGCTACCATTAGGGTACCTAAATCACATTATACCCTAACCAAGATCTTTTTCTTCACAAGCATCTCTCAAGGCAATAATCAATTCGATAGGGAAGGTCTTATCATCTTAAAAGACCTCAGTAAGTATTACAACTATCATAAGAGATTTACGTTATTATTAGTTCAAAATAAATTACCAAAAAAATTTTGAAAAATCCCCATGATTACTTTCATGATAGGCGAGCTTTAATCAATTCAATACTCCAACAATAGGCGGGTCTAATCAATCCAATTATTGATTTGTGTAATTTAAGAATATTCACCAAATTGTCAGACTAAAATTTAACTACAACCGAAATATGTTATATCTTGATACATAATTAGGAAATTAAATCTAACAAAATCAAATAATTTAATTTAAAATGAATATTCAAATAATAAAGCAATTTTTTAGTTAAATGGGTTTTTTTATGGAATTAAATGAATTATTAATAGAATGGGTAAATTTTAATTTACGAAATTGGGCTAATCATTTTACCCATATAATTCATTTAAAACCCATGTAATTAGATCAAATATTTTACAAAATGGAGCCATTAATTTTGGACCCAAAATTTTTACCAAAAATTTTTTTTAAGTAAAATGGCCTTAAGCAAAATAGCCAAAAATAATTAAATTAGGCCCAAATTTAATTTCAACAAAATTAATTTAAAACTAAATGACCAAACATTTAATTCCAATAAGATGGCCTAGACCTAAATGACCCAAATAAAATTAAAATTAAAATTGACCTTAATTTAATTTACTGTGATCCAAAATTACATCAATTCATTGGTCTAATTTAATTAATAAAATGATCAGACATTTAATTTAAAAAATTAGCTCAAATAAATTAAGCCAAATGGCCAAAATTTAAAATAAGCCAAACAAGAATAAAAAATTGTGGCCTCTCATGAAGAAAGAAAGGGGCCAAAATCATTAAGCATGTTGGTCCAAAAGAAACAAAATGGCCTAATTACTTTTTAAAATAAATGGCCCAAAAAAAATGAAAAAAATCGGCCCAAATCGAATGAACTAATACCAAATTGGTCTAAACTTGCCTCTAATTTTTTTTTTTTTCAGGTTGGCTCGTGTAAAACATGCGTTATGTATGGTGCATGTGATACACGTGCTAGAAGGGTTGCTTTAGAAATGTTTAATACATGTGCCATGCGTTGTCAAGTGACTATAATGGAGTGTGAAATACACGTGTCACACGCACACTATCAGGTGCATGCAACAGCTTATTTTTCTCCCGATTGTCATGTTTTAGGTTTTTCGACTCAATCAATTCGTTCGAAACTCGGTATTTTTGCACCATTTCAATCCAAAAAGGTTGGAATGCAACACTTTTCAAGCTCCACAACAACAAAACTACAATTTGGAGATTAAAAAATCAAAAAACTGCATGGGTTTCAAAAACCTAAAATCTTCAAAAGCTCATTTGAGCTTCAAATGGCAATATCACACCAAACAGAAAAATTAGTGACCTCGATGAATTTGGTTCTGATATCAATTGTTGGATTTGGTCCAAGAGCTCATTGAGTCATTAACACAATTTAGCTTAAATTAAAATTAACCTATATGCAGGTGAGAGCTAAATCTTGCTAGATTCAAGATCACAAATGTGTTGTCGCTATCATGAGCTTCCAATGCCATTTTTCAAGCTCCAATCAAATAACGGCACAGCAAAAAAAAGAGATCTACTCTCTACCTCCACAAAATGAAGTTATAAAACTTCATAGGCCAACTTCATATTATATAGATCTCAAAGCAAGGACTTCCCGTAAAATGTTAATAAAAACATAACCCATCTTATTAGTGGTCCAGATACATAATTAAATCTATATCATATTTAATTAAAATCATATTACATATTTGGATATATTACAATATGGCATTACTATAATTATTCGTAATTTGGCATTAATTAATTAAGTCTAGATTAATTGATTATGTTAATCTACAAAGTAAGATAAATACAACACTAATCAATTATAGTTTTGTGTATATTTTAAATTGATTTTAATATTAATTAATTTATGCGGCTTATTAATTTTATGCCCAAGAAAAGTAATGAACTAAATTTCGTCAAACATTCATAGTAGTCAAACGAGCAACATGGATGGATCACGTAGAAACATGTACACTTGCTGCCCACGAAACAACATGGAGAAGCATTAATTTATGCGGCTTATTAACTTTGTCCCCAAGAAAAGTAATGAACTAAATTTCTTGGAACATTCATAGTAGTCAAACAAGAAACATGGATGGATCACGTAGAAACATGTAGACTTGTTGCCCACGAAACAACACGGAGAAGCATTAATTTACGCGGCTTATTCACTTTGTCCCCAAGAAAATTACTGAACTAAATTGCATGCAGCTATTGATCATCTATATGTTCCACACCAGCCTGTTGGCTGCCTTTGTAAGTTATAAATACATAATAAAAACATTTTCTGTGCCTCTGTCCGTCATAGAGAGAAGAAAAAAAATTAATTAAGAGGAAATTAGTGCACAGCAATGGTGTCATTGAAGATGCAGAAGCGGCTGGCTGCCAATGTACTCAACTGTGGTAAGCGAAAAGTGTGGCTCGACCCCTACGAAGCTTTTCAAATATCCATGGCCAATTCCCGTATGTCTCCTGTTTCAAGTCCTTGTTATATCTTGAAGTTTCATATATAATTTTAAAAAATGTGAGGGAGAGAGGTTTATAGATATGGGAAGGAGATATATTTGATCTCTTTATTGGATAATTTAAAATACACTAAAATAAGAAAAAAAAAGTCTTTAAAGTATTTATATTAATCTAATTAAACCCTTACATTATTGCATTTTAATGAACTTTTCAACTTTCATTTTTCGCTATCTAAGTTTTTCTAATCTTAAATTAATGACATGTTGGTTATGTGAACAATGATGTGGTAAAAATATGCACATATGGTGACAAAATGTAAAAATAAGAAAATCTCAAAAAACTGTAGTTTGACAAAAAAAAAAATTTATAAGTAATAATTTATAAGTGATAATTCCGAATTCAATTTAAATTTCATATCTATATTAGTGAGAATTTATGTTAATATATAAATTTCAGTTATTATTTTTTGTTTTTAAAAAATTTAAAAAAAAAAATGTGTTCATAATAACTATCCAGATTGTATCAAGTTGGGCCAGACTTGAGCCTATCCATCATGCCTAAATTTTGTTGTTATGCCTGCCAAAACTTTTAAACATCCAATATCTCAAAACTCACCCCAAATATAGTAGTACAGGCATAATTATAGACTTGGATGGAAGTTTCATTGGTCTAGGAGTTTAATGCCTGCACTGCCTGACACATGGAATTAATCTTGTTGCAGGGATGGACATAAGAAAGCTTGTGAAGGATAGTCTTATAATAAAAAAGACTGATGTAACTCACTCGAGATGGAGATGGAGGCAATTCTATGATGCGAGGAGAAAAGGAAGGCAGTGTGGATATGGGAAGAGAAAGGGAACAAGAGAAGCAAGGCAACCATCCAAGCTTTTGTGGATGAGAAAAACCAGAGTCCTAAGGCGACTCCTTCGGAAATATAGGGAAACGAGCAAGATTGATAAGCACATGTACCATGACATGTACATGAAGGCTAAGGGAAGCGTTTTCAAGAACAAACGTGCACTCCTTGAAAGCATTCACAAGGCTAATAGAGATCAGAAAGCGACTGATCAGAATGCTCTTTTTGATCAGGTTATAGCTATCAAAGCCATCGGTAAGGCTAGCAAGGAAAGGGTTACATGGAAGAAACAAGGATTAAGTCAACAAATGGAAATGACTGATGTGTTGAATATATAAAAGCTTATTTACTTTCAAACTTTATGTATAAATATAAAGTATCGTCATCACAGTAACTTTAGGATATGTATGGTACGTCTAAATAAAGTGAATGGTATGTAATATTGAAATATAAATTAATCAAGTGCCAACTCCCATAATCAATCTTACGCCCAAACGAGAGCGATAGAGATGAAATCCGTTCCGCCCACAAAGACAACTCTATTGTCAACTGATTAAACTTGAAATTCCACTTATGTGATCCTGTAGAGATGGCAGAAAAATTTTAAACCACATCTTGCTAGCTAATTCATCATTTAAACCTTACCAAAATTGAAACACCCGAGGGTGTCGGGGCCATAACAGCCCAAATTAAATACTTCAGGATTTCTTTCCATCTGTAGCACAACGTTGGCCTGTGATGGGTTTAAAGTATGTACCGATATCATACATTACAAGAAAACATGACTTCAACGACGGAAATTTTTCAATAGAAAATTTTCGTTGGTAAAAAGAATCATTTACCGATGGATTTCCTATTGATTTTTTGACAGAATTTGGGTGGTTAGATTCATATAATTAACGACGGAAATCCATTAATAATTCTTTTGGTATTTACCGTCGATAATTTCATCAAAAATTATTGACGAAATAAAATTTTGTCTATAAGTCCATTGATAATGTTTGGTGTCGAACTAATATGTTTGATGCCATCATTTTTTTTTGTTTTATAGAATTAACGATAGAATTCCGTGGTAATTCTATTATTATTGATGGAACTTGCAACCAAATAATTTCATTGCTATTTTTTACTTTTAAAATAAATGGATTTATCGAGGGATGTTCTTGATTAAAAAATTTCATCGAAAACCGTAACTGCCTCATTTGAATTTTGATTTACCAATGGATATATTTCAAATATCCTCGTCCGGTGTTAGCTTGTCGTACTTAGATTGTGATCTTATGTACTTAAATCCCAGTGGAAATTCATTTATCTAAGTTGATGATCTAAAAGCGAGTGTGCTAGATTTGCAAGACCAAATAATCAAGTATAGGGCAACCAAAAGAGAAACTGAAGACGATTTTATTAGGATCAGCCATATGTTCGATGCTGGTATGTTTCCTACAATTGTATCTTCTAGATAGGGAGACAATGCTGGAGAGCAAGGATCGGAGGTAGTGCTCTGTGAGATTACCTCTTTCTTTTTTGGATATTGCATATGGATTTAATGGATGTTTGTTTCATTTATTTGATTTTCATGGATTTGGTGATTTACGGTAATATCTTGATGAAATTTATTGATGTTTTTCATTGATGGATATCATGAATTTTATGTATGTTTCTGTATTTATTGGTGGATTTTATATGAAAATGAATTGAATATTGAATTCCAGCATGAAAATAAGAAAATTATTATTGTATTCAAATTAATATGGATGATTTTTTTTTTTTTTTTAAAGGTATGAGAATGCTATCATTGAGTGAAAAGCTAAAAGGATTGCTCCGCTTAGTTATTTCAGCAAAATTTGTGATTCCTGACAATATTAACTGATTTTAATTAATGATTTTTGTAAAGAAAGTTAAACTATTTTTAAAATATGATAATGCCTTGTATGTTTTAAAATGGAAGGAATAGATCATATGTACCCTATGTAAAATTAACATCTCATAAAATTTTTTCTCATTAAAAAAATAAATAATAAGAAAATTAAAAATTTAGTGCTGAAAAGTGACTTTAAACCTCTTCTAAATGAGTGTTTGGCACAACTATTGTAAAAAGCAAAATTTAAGTATTTGGCTTTCAAATTTTTTAAATTTTTAATTTTTGGAGGAAGCTTATTTAAACAAATTTATAAATCAATTTTTTTCCCTAAAAGTGCTAATACGTAATGACAGATATTTAAAGAGATTTTTTTATTCTCATTTTACCGTTCGATAATTCATAAAATTATAGAGAGAACTATATTTTTTCACATTCATTCTTTTATTTGGTTCAAAATTTTCTCTTAAATTTATTTATTTTCGTTTTCAATTAATAAAAAAATTTATTTTGAAAATTATGATTTAATTTAGTATAGTTGAGCATTTTTATTTTTATTTATTTAAAATATTATCAAATCATCTTGTACATCCTAAAACTTCTTTATTAAATTTAATGAATGATATTTTAATTTTTGTTATATAATTTTGAAAGTAATTCAACTTGAACAACACTTTTTTATGAAATTTTCAATGGAACCAATCAAACAAACCTGGGAACAAGAAGCCCCAACACGTTTCACATATATATTGGCCACTTCTTCTTTTTTTTTCAATGATTTTTAAAAATTATAATATGTTGAATTCTAAAATAAATAATTTGATTAATATTAATTTAGTATTATTGTTGCGGTTAGAAAAAAATTGAGTTGACAAAAGTGCTTTTAAAAACTGGGATAAGAAAAATATTGTTAGAAATTTTAAATTTTTGGTATTACTTTGAAAAGATATTGTGAATAATTAAATATTTAAAAGAATAAGCATAAAATATTAAAATATTATTCTTTCTGTTCCATTTTTTTTGTCCAACTTTTCTTTTTAGGATGCTCCCAAATTATATTCTTCTTTTAAAACATTTAAAACTTTTACTTTTTATATTTTAAAATAATTTTTATAATTTTTATAATTTTTTTAAATTAAAAATTATGAAACTCAAATTTTATAAAAAAAATTTTTAAATTTAATATTAAATGCATTAAAATTGAAGTTTTTTTTTTTTTAATTTCATACAGAAAAAGTAAAATATAATGATAATATAGTGATTTTCGTTTTTAAACACATTTTTCATTGCAAAAACACGGAAGATTTTTTTTTTTTTTTTGTACTTGAAAAATCAAATTTTTAATTTTTTTGGTTATTCAACATTAAAATTAAATCGAAAACAGATTTTGAACTCAAAATCTATTTTCAATATCAATACTACACTATGCCTGAATCTTAAAATCAAATTTCATTTTCCATTTGGAAACTGTGAAAAAAGGCCAGCCCAAGTATAAGTGGAATCTCAAACCCAGTTAAGCAACCCAAAAGCAGTTAATTCTGCTAAAATACACGCTTGGTGTACATCTTCTTGCAGCCCAAGGACTTGCCAAGCCGCCACCATTTCATTTGGTTGAAAGGTCTTTCTTTTCTATTCTGTGGAATTGGAGTTTGATAAAAATGGCGGCTTCCAACTCAGAAAATGATTCAAAAAATGAAATTCCAAGCTCAAGTGAAGCGGAGCAGCCTCAGTTCCAGGCTATTCGAATGCCAACTATGGAGGAAATTCGTGCTCAAGAAGTTTGGAATAATTGTGCTGTTCGTAGTGTCGTTAGCGGAGTCATGGGTAAGTCCCAAATTTTTTGAAAAATAATTTTACTTTTAATCTATTCTTTTAAATGATAATTTGTTTGGCAGTTAAGAGAAAAAAAAAAAAAAAGAGCAAAAGAACTGGATAATTGATTGAATATTTGAAATTTGATGCATGCCAAATTGTTTTTGCGTGGAATTATTGGAATACCGGTGCATTATTCTGTCTTCCGTTTACTGGAGGGTTTAAATAATGATTTAGGGTTCTAAAGGGGTTTTAATAGTTGTTGTAATATTTGCAGGAGGTGGACTTGGATTCTTCATGGGCATGTTTTTGGGTGCATTGGATAATCCTATAATGCAAGATGAAATGACTGGTAGGCAACAATTCGTTTATAACGTAAAGCAAATGGGGCGAAGAAGCTTGAGTTCTGCAAAAGCATTTGCAGTTATGGGCTTAGTTTTCTCTGCTGTTGAGTGTGTTGTTGAGAAGGTACTATAGAGAAGCTAAAAATCAAAATTCACGCGCACTGACACATAGAAATAAAATTCGAAACTGAAATTTCTCATGTGCTTATTCATGTTCATTGTGTGTTTTGAAAGGCTCGGGCAAAACATGACACCACAAATACTGTTGTTGCCGGTTGTGTAACTGGGGGAACTATGTCTGCAAGAGGTATTTACTTTCTTTCTGTTTTTTGGTACTACTTGTCATGTCTTTGTGATCTCAGTAAATGTTTATTAGATAGGGAGTTCATATCTTTGTTAGCATAGAAAAAGTTCAGTCATAACATTTAGGAGCTTTCTAATGTAGATTGTAGCATATTGTGCTGACATTTTTGGTTAACCTACATCTACTGGACACTATACCAGTGGACAGTCAGTTAATAGTGAGATGTTTATGAGTCTAATGGTCTTTTTTCCCTTCTCCCCCCCACCCCCATCTTTTGGTGTCTTTTTCATTTAAAAGCACAAAACTTTCTACTTCTCTTGTTTGATCTTTATTCGCTTTTTGCTTTTTTTGGGATATGCATAGGTTGGATATCCTATTTGTTGCTCAAGCACTTCTATTACTAATGCAATTTATGATTGAGATTTAGTGTTAACTAATTTCAGATTTGCTTTTATTTCCTTCAATTTATGTTTTCTATAAAATCTCTTGTTTTTTGGCCCTCAAAATTCAGCACTTAAGTTTAATCACCAACCTTTCTTCTTGCTCTTTACATAAAGATTTTGAAGTTCCAAAGAAAACTATTCATGCTACTTCTCAAGTATTTTTCTCTAGACTAGTTAAGGACCCATGTGCATTACGCATAGGACCTTCAAAAGAAGGGAAAAAAATGTTTACTAGAAAAATTACAACATATGAAGAATATTATCTGATAACAGTTTGTGATTTTCCCTAAAAATTTCAAACATGCACTGGTTTTATCAAATTTGCTCCAGTACCCATATAGACAAGTTAATTTCCCAAATTGAAATTGGTCCATTCAACCGAACCGAAAATGAAATAATATAGTAAAATACAGATGCCACTCTAAATAGTGCAAAGACTAGCAAAAATAAGAAAATTTATAATCTACTTCACAAGTTAATCACCGAACAATATGAACATAGCTCCCTTTTGTTTCTTGTGCATCGTCCAATAAAGGCTCAATTTGATGAAATTGAGGGTTCAATTGATTGCAATAAAATGATAGGGACTTGGATGATTATTTAAGGCTTAATACCCAAATAAACCTTAAACTTTACTCCAAAATGCAAAAAGCCATTAATTTTTTATTTCATGAAATTAAGATTATAAACTTTTATTTTATTGTAATTATACTCATTAAATCTTAAAAATGGATAATAATATCCAATTGGCATAATTTTTAAAGTGGCATTTCCTCAACTATTTGTTGTTCAGCTCATCCAAATAAATCTAAATAAGCATTTTTTATAAATTAAATCACGTAACTAAAAAATTTTTAACAAAATATTGAATATTTTATATCATCAAGGATCAAATTACAATAAAATAAAAATTAATATCAGTAATTTCATGCTATAAAGGATCATGGACTTGTTTCTATTTTTAAGTAACGTTGGAGGGCTTATTTTGTATTATCCTATTATTTAATTTTAGCTCGGGAGCCTTTTTTATACCTAAGCCTAAAAAGTAAGAAAGCTTGATCAGGCTTAAGGCTTGCGAGCTAATTAAGTCTTGACGTTAAGATACTTGAGCATGGCTCTACAATGATCAAGTTGAGTTCAGATGTTTCTTGAGTCGAGCTCCATGTAACTTTTGAGTATCTTTTTGATTAGTTTATCAAAAGACAAATCCCTAGTAATGCTTATACCTAAGCCAAAAAAGTAATAATATCCTATTGGCTCTCTCAGGCTTATAAATTCCAATCATTCCAATCTTATAGAAGTATTAGTTTCTTTAATTTAATGTGACGTTCCCTTGAAACTTGTTTCAGTGAAACTCTTAAAGGCCTTGTGGAGAGGTTTTTTTGATTGTTCTCCTATTTTTGTGCATTTTTGTGTGCTTTGAAACCCTCTAACCAGCACCTAGAAACCTTAAAGCCCTGCCATAATTGTTTCAAGTAATAATTGGCAACTAAACTTCGCTGCATTTACAGGGAAACCTGAATGCAGCTTTGATAATAGCCCTTTAATGTATTGAAATATTGAGAATGATTTTATCAAATGCAATAGCTACAACCGAAATCAAAGAAAAGATAAAAAAGAAACCAGCTGCAGAAGTGTCATTCTTCCAATAGTATCCTTGTTTAGGCAAAAAAGTTTAGCACATAAAAGGCACTATCAAACATTAGCAACCACCGCAATTAACAAAATCTGATCATTTCCACCATTGCATTTCATTTTCCAAACATAAGTAAGAATTGAATAATCCGCAAATCAACAGATTAAAGTTGGTCAATGGAAAACTGGAAAAAAAAAAAAAAACAAGTGTAACTCATTAATAATAAAAATGAAATCAAATCAGTGGGTCTCCAGTACCATTGCAAATCTGTGAGGCATCTTTTTTTGTTCTTTATGGACAACTTATTTGGCTTAACTTCACTGATCTCTTCAATTCATTGTTAATGATAGAAGGAAATTTGTACTTATCCTGTGTCATTGTAATGCAATAACTGGCAGTATCATATCTGGATGTGATGATTGAAAATGTCGTGGCCTTCAGCTTCCCACCCCTTTTTCTTTTTAACCAGTCTTGCACTTGCTGGGAGAATTTGGAGGTGATAGAATAAACCTTTTGCTTACATGTATCCTTTGTTTTCTTCTAAAACCTTTTCTTTCTTTTACTTTCTTTTTCTTTCTTTTATTAATGTTTATGCAAACATCGTGTTAAGGAATCGAAATTCTTTTTTTTTTCATTCTAACTCTCCCACAAACTGAAGTGTTTTACTTTAAGGAAGCTGTGAGAAAAGAGGATTGAGAACAAGTTTTTTGTCTGGTATGAGTGACGGTTCCTACAATACTTATTCATGTCTAAGCTTTGCATCCTTTCCATGTTAAAAGCTTATCATCAATTTAAGTGGCAAATGTCAATCTCCCATGTTTGCAAGCTAATATTATGTTATTGATGATTTTGCTCTGTTTTCAATGCCCTGATTTATCTTTTATCTCTTTCTATTGTGTGTCTATAGGGGGTCCGAAAGCGGCATGCGCTGGTTGTGCCGGCTTTGCAGCATTCTCAGTTCTAATAGAGAAGTTTTTTGATAGACATACTTAATGGGATAGTTAACCTGCTCCAGTTTTACGGACATCAATTTATTTAGTTCTAGACAGAAGTCATAGCTCATCTGCTGAATTTATCATTTCTTTTATGCAATTTTACCTGATTCAAAACCAACCCTAATAACAAGGGAAGGGATTATGTCATCAGAAACTCTAGTTAAATTCTTGTGTGTTTCGATTTTTGGTTCACTACATTTCAATCAGAAGATATACACCCAAAAATGTATTTGATCGGACCTCGGATATGTTTTTATTGCTTGATGATTGATTAAGAGCTTATCTTATACTGGAGTTAGGGATGTAGCCAAGTAGAACCGAGTCAATACAATGAGAAATTTGAATTTGATTCAAAACTCGGTTCGAGTTAGACTAAATTTTAATTTTAAGCTTGAATTTTATTTCAGATACAATTTAAGTTATTTGAACTCGTTTGATTATGTTTGTTAATCGAATAAAAAAAAAATTTGATTTTTGATTATTGTGTTCGAAGTTGAGTGAGTTTGATATATATATATACACATATATATATATATAAGAGAAATATTAATTTTCTAATTAAAATAATTAAAATATATATTAAAATACAAAAACTCAATTAGATTTTCGAATTGGATATTCGAATTCAATTTGTTCGATAAATTGAATTGTTAAAACTCTTGATAATAATCAAATTGAATTTAAATTTTATTTAAATTAAACTTAAATAATTTACGAATATTAATATATCTTTTACCTTTTAATTAGAGTATAAAGCTTGGTGATAGAGGTGGGCAAAGCTATTCTAATTAAAGCATCTATCACATGTTGGCCTATTACAAACATCAGTTCAAATATAATTACGAAATAAGCAGCATTTATATAAGGTTGCCATCCTGTGTTAGTGTTGGAGTTTTAAATATATTGTTTCACTTTTTACCCTACCATGCATACCATGATAGTTAATAAGGCATTTGCATGGAGAAAGAAAACATTTGAAAGTGGAAGTGATTCAGTGAGAAGTTTGAGCTTGATTTAAAATTTATTATTTGAAATTTGGTTCGATTTTGATCTAATTTTAAATTTTCAAATTTAAACTCGATTAAAATAAAAATTAAATTACTCGAATTTATTTAATTAAGTTTATTTACAAAATAAATAAATAAAAAGAAGTTTGGTTTTCATGCTCAACATCAAGTTAGATTATTTGTATTCAAATTCGAACTCGAACTCAAATTGATATATATATATATATATATATATATATATACACACACATACATATATATAAAGGTAAAATAATAATTTTTTAATTAAAATATTTAAAATATAAAAATTTGATATTTAGACTTTTGGATTACTTGAGCCAAGTATTAAAATGTTCAAACTCGATTTGCGTAATAAATTGAGCTATTCAAATTTAATTTCGTCTCTACTCGATAATAATTAAATCGAATTTAAATTTTACCTAAATTAAATCCAAATAATTTATGAAACCAGACATATTATTTATACCCCTAGTTCCGTCCATGGCTCACATCCATGGAGGTGGAAAAAAGTGGTGCAAAGTCGAAGATTTCACAAGGAAACATATTAGGGTATCAATTCGTATGCCTTTTCTAAGTTTTTTTTTTTTTTTTTTTTATGATTTAACTCTTTTAACTAATTCCTGATAATATCTCCTCATCATATTTTTATTTTTCATGACGATCCAACAGATAAAATATTTCCAATAAATTAGGTTATTAAACTTATTTAATGATAAAATATTATATATTTGTATTGTTTTTCAAATTGTTTCATTTATTTGATGTTAGAGAATTTTGAATATTAAGTATTTATTATTTTAAAATTTGTATACGTGTGTGTAATCAAATATTATATATACTGCCAATAAACTTGAAATGATAGATGGAAACAAATAGATATGTAAAGGTGAGTAATCAGTTTGTTTGATTTTGAAAAATCAAAAGTCTACTGAATTGATAAATTCTAAAAGATAATTGAACCAATCAACTTATTTTTAATAATTGAATTTAATAATTTAATCGATCGATTTGAAAAATAAAAAAAATTGTCACTACTTTTTGCCACCAACTTTAAATAATAATTTTGCAACAATTTTCATTCAATAAAACTCACTTTATAATTTTGCTATTAATGCAATATTTTTCCTTCTTAAAAATATAAATAAAAAATATTTTTATACATTTATATTATATATTTGATATATATTAAAAAAGTCGTTTAATTCAATGGATTCCATTATTAATTTTAAAACAAAAATAGATTGAATTATCTCACTAAATCTATTTATTTAACTGATAATCTTTGAAATCGAATTAATCCACCCAACTTGATCCAATTCAATGGTTGAAATCAACTTATATTTACATACCAATTTCAAAACAAACGTTCATCCATATGATACGTACTAACAATTTTAGTGAGAATCCTTTGATCATTTGAGTAAGTAAGATAGCTTAAATAAACTTCCAAAAATCATCTTAAACAAAATTTCAAGATTGGTGTCACTCATGGTTCCACCAATTTGGCGAGATACATTGGAGGGAAAGACACTTTCAAACCCGATGATCCAGATATATTTAGAAAGTTAAGCAATTCAAATTCGAAGCTTCGTAGATAACACTGCACTATTTGAATTTAAGGGCTCTTTAATTTTGAAAGGAAAAAAGTTATTACTAAAAAATTTTAAAACAAAGCTTACAATCAAGTGCCAAACTGAATCTCAATATTTGTAGCCACTAAGGCCTAATTTTATATTTTTGTTATAGTTTGAAAAAGCTCGATTTAAAAAAGTGTGTTAGAAAAATATGATTTAAAATTTTAAATTTTTCTTGAGTCATAAAAATTTTTTAAGTGTTTGGCATTGTTATGAAAAAAAAAGTAATATTGGTGTATTAAATATCCAAAAAAATTTTGCATAAAATAATAAACGTTTAAAGTTATAAAGATAAAAAAATAATTTTACTTTCCAAAAATATTTTTCTAACTCCAAACATACCTCTAAAGAGCTTTTGCATTTAATTTGCAAAATAAATTTTGTAGACCGCAAAACTCAAAATTTACACCCTGTTTAACATTGAAGTTGCGATGAACTGAGATTTTATGAATGTGGTTGAGCCACGTCAGCTTTCCAAAGTAACTCTCACGGAACCAACTTCTCGGAAATTGAACTCTTGAAATCATTATTATTTCTCTGTATTTAGCTTTGTATTTAACTTGGTAAATATCATCTATTTATCGACAGCTTTGTATTATAAGCACATTCAATGATAGAATGGAAGTACTCCTTCCTCTTTGCAATTCTAATTTGCCTTAATGTTTTTTTGAAAAACTCAGGACAGAAACGAAACTAAACTCAAAATTAAATAACCTGACTCCAAAAATAAATCAATCTGAATCCGCGCAATTACGACCTGTACTTTAAAGTATATTGGTCTTGTTATCACTAAAATTCGAGAGAAGATTGTAGGTTTATCAATCTCATGTACTTCTATATAATTTACTTGTTAAGATATTGCATTGTAAGCTATTCAAATTACTCTGACTTGACACATTTATTGTTAAGATGAGCTGCAGGTAAAGAGTCCAACCGAAGTCTTGACTTGAGTGACATGCAAACCTCACCAAGCTTTTGGGTTTTTAGTATTTCTACTGTCACGTAAACTTATCTAAATATATTATTATTTACTATAACATGTACTTAATTACAATTTATATTCCAATCTCAAATTCGAGTCAAGTAATTTGAATTTGTTTACCTAAATTTAAAAGTAGTTTTGAGTAATAATGCTCCATCAAAACGACTTGAGTTGAGCTTGAGCTTTAAGTTTTGCAATGCAATTGAGCTTGATCTTTTCACTGATTTGCTCAATTAGTTACTCACCTTTCAAAAAAGTAAAAAATCTAAAACATTTTGATCATTTCTGCTTGGGGGATTGAATTTGGTTACCCGGTTGACGGGTTTATATCTCGCATGTTATGGTGGTTGTAAGTTTGCATTTAGCTAGCTGCTTGAGAGACTCGCTGTGATCGGTCAATAATAGTCATTACTTATTAGCTTGTTTCTTAATTCTTCCTTTTCTTTTAGCAAAGTCTTTGTTTCTTAGTTCATTACTTCACAATTTCTTTCTTACGTACACTAATATGTTGGCTTTAACCCAAAAGCTCACAAAGTTACTAACACAACATAATAGAAACTAAATTTAATATGGATATGGGGAGAGCTAAATCATACTAAATCTACGATCACAAAATTCATGCTACCATCACAAACTCTCCAACACCTACCTCTAGGGTCCAATCAAAGACTTGCATGGCAAAAGGAAAAGAATTGCTTTTGCCTCTCTAAACTGAAATTATGAAACTCAATAGGATAGCCTCATATATATAGAGATGAGAGCATGGACTTCTCCTAACAAGTTAGTCAAATTAACCCATCTCATTGTGAGTCCAAATACAGAATTAAAACCCAAATCACACTTAACTAAAATCATACTACTATTTAAGTATATTACAATATGGTACAATATCAATTACTTATTAATTGAAAATCATATTATTATTGGGGTAATTACAATATGGTACAACATCAATTACTCACTAATTGACATTAATTAATATAATCCAATATATTAATATAACAATCTCTCACTTGGACAATATAACTGATTAAACCTGAATCTGGACTAACGAAATGGCTATAAACAGAAAATGTCAATATAAGCATATGCCTAAATCATCATACAATAGAATATCTATAAGCCTCAAAATGCATTGTACCGATAGGGTACCAATGTATGTACTTGCAAACTCTCTACATCTTGAAGGTATTCATAAACCTTAAAATGCATTATATTGACAAGATACATAAGTAGAGTTACGAATACTTCAATAATAATAACAACAACAACCATATATAAGTTTCCAAAATGTATCGTGCTAACATGATGCGTGTACACAAACTCATAAACATTTGAAAAGCAATAGTATGATAATGGAAATGATATAAGAACAAAACTAATATCCATTTCCATTAGGTACTTCGTATTTAAACCGAATGATGCATTGCTTCAAAAGAAGTACATGAGAATAACTTGAATGTTTCATCCAATAAAATGTTATGCTCAACAAAATGCGTGTAAACAAAATATACATTGTCTTAACGTGCGGGTCCGAGAACCCAACCATTGGACACGAAAATAAAAGCATTGTAAAAAACTTTAAAAAACTAAAGAAGTCACTACCAATCATTTTTAAGATATGATTAACCACTAAAAAGTTTATTATTTCAATAAAACATTAAAACGAGTTTAAAATTTATTAAAAAGATATTTTGGTCATTGAAAACAAATTGAGTTCGTTAGTTCAATTACGTATG